TGGATATTGTATGTGGAGTGCCTCAGGGTTGTGTTTTGGGACCTAAATTATTTATATTATACATTAATGATATATGCAAGGTTTCTGATTTAGTGAAAGTGGTTTTGTTTGCTGATGACACTACCATATGGGCATCGGGTGAAAACCTAGAGCAACTCTCTGGACGGGTTTCACAGGAACTTGAGAAGATAAAGAAATGGTGTGACAGTAATATAGTATCTCTGAATTTGGATAAAACTAAATTTATGGTATTTGGGAATTGTAGACTAGATAATGAACTTCAATTGAAAATTGGGGGAGCTAATATAGAACGAGTATATGAAATTAAATTTCTAGGTGTCATAGTTGATGACAAATTCTCCTGGAAATCTCATATCAGATATGTTCAGCACAAAATAGCAAAAAATATATCGATATTGGCAAGGGTTAGATATATCTTGGACGGGAAAGCACTACGTATTTTGTATTCTTCATTGATTTTACCATACTTAGAGTATGGCGTTGAAAACTGGGGAAATACATACAAAAGCTCACTTCAACCATTGTATATATTACAAAAAAGAGCGATAAGAATTGTGCATAAGATGGGATATAGGGATCACACCAATGTAGCTTTCATACAGTCTGCAGTGTTTATGTATAAAGCCAGGAACAATTTATTACCTGGTGGAATTCAAAAACTAATGAAAGGGAAGGGGGGATATAATTTTAGGGGTCAGTTAAATTTAAAAATTCATGTTATATGTACAACCAAAAAAAGATTTTGTATTTCCATAAGTGGGGTAAAACTATGGAACAATCTAATTAATTAATTAATTCCAAGCATGTAATAAAACAGAGAGAGAAAAAATCTAAGTGCGGACATAAAAAATAGTAATAGTATTGATGAGTTTAAACATAAGTATAAAGGTATGTTTCAATCAAGATATATTCAAAAACAGGTTTAATGATTAATTAGGTGGAACATTGTGGGTGTGGTGTAAGAATGTTAACACTATGTAATAATTCTTTAGTATATTGTGTCGTGTAGAAGATAATTTTCTAAGAATGTAATTATGTAAGAATGTTAAGAATCTAACAATCTTTTAGTATATTACTTGCGTGGTGTAGAACAAAATTATCTATGTAGAGATACTGCTTGCAAACCAATGATGGTAAGATGATGTTATGGGGGTAGGACTGGATAAGTCTAACTTCTTCCTACTCCGTTCAAGCATGTACTAGGTATAAGCAAATTGATAATGGATTAGCATTTGTAGATATGTGTGAAATTGTGTGTTGACATATCAACTATCTTTACATGCTTGAAAGAATAAAATCAATCAATGTTCGCTCTTTGAAGATGACTAGATGTTCGTGTTTCTGTTAGCTGCCACCTAACAACACTCCCACACACCATTTGATTTGCATATTTAATAGCTGACGTGAGCAGAGGTTGGCTGGGTTGCTCATGCCTATGGCCAATAGCGTTAAGATATGTGTAAGTCCAACCTTTGTCTGGGGTGGTTCCCGCCCACGAAGATAAGTGAAACTACAGAAAATGGTCCGGCGCTCTTTGATGAGGAGTTCCTGCGGAAACTGATTCTCAGAGCCTAGTGCTGTAATGGCTTGATATGTGAATAGACGAATAAATTTTTGTTGATTTTATACGGTCCCTGTCTGTTTTCACTTCTCGCGCTTTCAATTAAAGAATTGGGTCTAACAGGAAGAAGGATGGTAACCTTCGCCTGTGTGTTGATCAGCTGAATCACAAGACCAGGAAGGAGGCCTTTCCCCTCCCTCACTGCTTAATACAGTTAATACGGGAATAAACTCGTTGCCGCTAAAGGGAGCAGTGCCGTTAATGTGAACGAAGTCACTATATAATGAAGTTTTAATAAGGATATGTCTTATCTATCTTATCTAACTCTGCTTGGCGAATTCTACAGCACACATACAGAAGGTCATTTTAAGAAACAGAAGTCTACTGCATTTGTGTTAATAGCTCCAGTGGAGAAGTTTCTGCTGTTTATTTCCAGAGTGATCAGTGTCCTGGTGGTGGCTACAAGAGGAGGTGCATACAGAGACAAAGGAACGGGCCACCAGAGCTGACCTGACAACGAACCGTGTTACACGTGCGGAGAACCAATGGAGCCACAAATCAAAACCGTGAAATCTGGAGACTGGGTGCTACTGAAGGTGGTTAAGAGAAAAAACTGGTCTAGTCTAAGGTGGGAAGGTCCATACCAGGTATTGCTCACCACACCTACAGCAGTAAAGATAGTTAAGAGGACATCCTGGATTCATCTGTCCCACTGCAAGCTGGTAAAGCCCTCATCCTCATAAAATAAGTAAGGACAGTTAGCTACACACCACCGCTCCCTGAGGCAGCAAGTCTGACTACAAAGGGGACTTTTTCCAATAAGGAAAAGTCGTCTCAACCTCAGTGAAGAAACCATCGGCTAATAGGAGCATAGGGTGTGACATAAAATATGTAGGGACAGATGGAGGAGGATCAGAAAACCAGCAAGGAACTATTTGGACAAACTCTACTTGTAAAAGTTAATAGAATGGCTAAGGAAGGAGGAGTGTGTAAGATGATAGGCGTTCATTGTTGTATCTTCATCCCTAATAATACTGCACCAGATGGAAGTATCACCAAAGCCTTAGTTGGTCTGCTTGCTGCTTTATCTGAAGAATTGGCTGAAAATTTTGGCATTAGTGATCCTTTCTCTGATTTGCTGTCACATTGGTTTGGAAAATGGAGTAGTTTAGTCACTTCTCTTTTTAGTGTCTGTAGTTTTATTTGTAGCCATTCTAGTTCTCTGCAGCTGTTGCTGCATCCCTTGTGTTAGGCAATTGTGTACCAAATGCATTACTAGAGCCATAGATCCTAAATATTCTACACCTCCATATCGATTATCTCCGTTAACCTTAGAGAGCACACCCTTGGTTTCTTTCCACAGCTCACCATTTATGAAGATGCCTTGGACCTGCAGAATAAGAAGACTCCGGTTATCAGCTCCCCTGAAACACCTTTTTACACAATTTTGCTAAGGTTAATACATAATCCATATAGTGTCTCTCACACACACGTAGCAGGCGCGATATTCTTAGTATGGTACAGTTGGGTGTGATTTGTGCTTACTGCAGGACATGTTATCAGTTGTGAAAACGGAGGTGCTGAATTTTTGGAAAAGAGTTTTTATTTTCAGTACATGGAAAGGTTTTCCTGATATGAATGGTTTATGACTTTGTTAATTAGGATGATCTTGCTGTTGATTGCTTAGTTTATTTTTCCATTTCTCAGCTGAGTGCTTTGTTTTTCTTTCCATTTTTATGTTGACTTTGTTTTATCTTTTCAGTTTGTGTAATGACGAGCATATTAACTTTTCCATTTTTTTGATTGCTTTATTTGTTCTCTTCCATTTTATGTCAATTGCTTTGCTTATTATTTTCCCATTTTTATGCTGATTGCTTGATTTGAATTCTTACATTTTGGGCTGATTACTTTATTTCTTCCAGTTTGTTCAGTGAAAAATGCTTACTGATGTATTTCCAGTGAACATCAGCTTGCATGTAGCCGCTGACGTGCACTGTGCTGCCAGAGGTATTCGCTCACCCTTCCCAATTATTAAGCTCAGGGGCCCTATGGGTGTATACAGTCAAACACCTGGGCATGCATACTGCTTCTGCAGACAGCTGTGAACGGATCAGTCGCTCTCAGGATCTCAGCGAACTCCAGCATGGTGCCAAGATGGGATGCCACCTGTGCAGTGGCTCCAGTCCTGACGCTTCATGTGGTCCTCAGAGTGCCCACACCACAGGACATGGAGAGCTTCATGGAATGGCGTTCCATGGTCAAGCAGCCGCATCCAAAACCTGACACCACCAAGTGCGATGCAGAGCATCGGATTATGAAGTGAAGTTGCTTCTTAGGAATTAGGCTTGGCCCCTTTGATCCAGTGAAAGGAACTCTTGATGCTTCGGCATACCAGGACAATTTGGACAGTCTTGTGCTCCTAAGGGAGTGAGTTTGATGTGGAAGAATTCGACTGGCCTGCATATAGTCCTGACCTCATAGGTATGCTTCTGGAGGAATGGTCAAACTTCCCATTGACACACACTCCTGGACTCCGTGGAGAGCCTTATCCCAGGGAATCGAAGCTGTTATACTGTAGCTGCAGAGAGTGGGCCAACATCAATTTGGGCTCTATGGGCTGAGAATCGGTTGTTACTCATGTTCATTTCCATGACAAGGCAAGTGGACAGATGCTTTTGGCAGCACAGTGTAGTATGCTAGCGGTGAAGACATGCTTATATTACACTGAGATTCCAAAAGGGGGCCTTATGCTCCCTCTGGTTGGATGACTGATTCGTTTCTGATATACAGGTTAAGTTGGGGCCCTGTCCCTGGGATGTTGGAAGTTCAAATCGGTCTTCCAATGCAGCTTGTAATTTTCTACTATTTTGGATTTATATGATAAAATCATGTCAAAAGGGGGAATTGTGATATTTGAGTCATATGAACTTAAGTTTCTTTTCTTTTTTTATTCCTTATTTATATGTTTCACTACTGTATTGATGACTGTTAGAACTGCTTAGTATTTACTGTTTGTCTGTTAAAGAATGTGCATACAGGATGTCTGTACTTTGAAGCTTGACTAAATGTCCAGTATTTCTGTTCGTTTATTAGGGTTTTTATAGACAGGATGTCTGCTCTTTGAAGAGTACCAGATGTTGGTGTTTTGTTAGCTGCCGTTGACATTACCACATTCACACACTATTTGATTCGCATATTTAGTAGCTGACATGAGCAGAGGTTGGCCTGCTCACGCCTAGGGCCAATAGCATTAGGAAACCTGTAAGTCCAACCTTTTGTTCGGGGCGGTTCCTGCCCGTCAAGATAAAATGGAACTACAGACAATAGTCCGGCGCTCTTTGGTGACGAGGTTCCTGAGGAAGCTTTGATTTTCTGAGTCCGGTTTTGTATGGCTTTACATGTGGCTTCGAATAAATTTCTATAAAATTTATACAGTCCTTCTGTTTTTACTTCTCGCGCTTTCAATTAAAGAACTGGGTCTAACAGGAAGAAGGATAGTAGCCTTCACCTGTGTGTTGATTACCGGCAGCTGAATTGCAGGACCAGGCCATGAATTTGGCTAGTGGTTAATCAAGTACCAGTAACTGAGCAGGACAAGTCGAAGACTTTTTGCACACTGTTTGGGTTATTTGAGTTTAACCGGATGCCATTCGGATTGTGCAATGCACCCAGTACCTTCCAGCTTTTGATAGAGCGACTATTTGGAACCCAGCACTGTTGGTCATTGCTGCTTTTATGTGGATGACATCATTGTCTTCTCCAGTGTTGATGAGCATTTGAGTCGACTTGATTTAGTGCTGAGCTGCCGGAAACAGGAAGGACTTGAGGCTAAGTTGGAGAAGTGTTTCTTCTTCAAGAAAGAGGTGCAGTATCTGGACCATGTAATCTCAGAGGGGGCAGTCTCAATTGACCCAGGGAAAGTCTCTGCGGTAGCAAGTGGCCTCGTCCTACCAATCCGAATGAGCTGAGGTGTTTTCTGGGTTTCGCCAGCTACTACAGGCGGTTTGTGGAGGGCTTTTCCAGGCTGGCGGCCCCGCATCATTAGCTGGTGATGCAGTTGTTTGGGTTGAGGACCTAGAAAGGCCAGGATGTTTCATGGGGAGAGGCTTGGTCAGAGGACTGAGAAGAGGTTTTAAGATTTGAAATCTCGGTTTGTAAGTGCACCTACCCTTGCTTTTGCTAACTTTTCTCTCCCCTTTATCCTGGAGGTCGGCGCTAGCCAAAATGGCTTGGGAGCCGTACTGTCCCAGGAGCAGGATGGCCAGGTGAGGCCGGTCGCTTATTCCAGCAGGAGTTTATGTCCAACAGAAAAGAACTATTGCTTGAAGAAGTTGGAGTTTCTGGCTATGATGTGGGCCTTGACTAAAAAATTCAGGGAGTATTTTGGGGGTCAAAAGTGCATTTGGACTGATAACCCATTAAGCCATCTAGACACTGCAAAATTGGGAACTATGAAACAGCGATGGGTTACTGAACTATCTGCTTTCGATTACAGTATTCGTAATCGGCCAGGCCATAATAATAAGAATGCAGATGCACTTTCAAGACAGCTGGTGGCTCCAGTATCGCAAATGATGGAACCTTCTCTCCCAGGGAATGCGATACCTATGGCTACGGAGGAGTGCATGGACCAAAACGCTGAGCAGTCTGCAGTGATAGCTCTTCCATCTCATACTACATTTGATCTTCAGGCCCTCCAGCAGGCTGACCCCACCATTGGCACCTTTCATCTCTTTATGGGACAGTCAGAGAATGCCCGGTCAGGGTGAAAGGGAGAGATTGACACCTCATGATTGTTGTGGCAGTGGACCTGTATTGTGTGGAAGGAGGATTTGTTGTATCGCCAGCTGTTTTGTCCAGATGGGGGTGGAGAGGTGTGGCAGCTCCTTCTGCCAGAGACTTTGAAGGAGGAGGTCCTGCAGCAGCTTCACCAGAACCAAGGCCATCAGGGAATTGAGCGGACTACTGAGGTGGTGAAGCAGAGGGGTTATTGGCCTGGGATGGACCAGAAGATAAAGAACTGGTGTCAAAAGTGTGAGCGTTGTAACTTGGCTAAGGCAACACACCCGGAGATCAGAGCACCTATGGGCCACTTACTGGCAGCCAGACCAAATCAAATCTTGGCCATCAGTTTTACTTTTTTGGAGCCTTCCAGCGATGGTACTGAGCTTGTGTTGGTAATGACTGTTTTTTCCAAGTTTACCCAGGCTGTACCTACAAGGGACCAGACGTCTTCCACTGTAGCAAGATTGCTAATAAAGAAGTAGTTCTATTGATATGGAGTCCCCATGTGTTTGCACTCTGACCAGGGCCGGAGTTTTGAGTGCTTTGGTGCAGCAGTTGTGTGAGCTACAGTATTGTTCAAAATAATAGCAGTACAATGTGACTAACCAGAATAATCCAGGTTTTTAGTATATTTTTTTTATTGCTACATGGCAAACAAGTTACCAGTAGGTGCAGTAGATTCTCAGAAAGCAAACAAGACCCAGCATTCATGATATGCACGCTCTTAAGGCTGTGCAATTGGGCAATTAGTTGAAAGGGGTGTGTTCAAAAAAATAGCAGTGTCTGCCGTTGACTGTACAAACACAAAACTATGTTGTACAAACGTTTTTGTTTCTAGGATTTAGCAATCCTGTGAATCACTAAACTAATATTTAGTTGTATGACCACAGTTTTTTATATCTGCGTCACATCTGTGTGGCATGGAGTCAACCAACTTGTGGCACCTTTCAGCTGTTATTACACTCCATGATTCTTTAACAACATTCCACAATTCATTTACATTTCTTGGTTTTGCTTCAGAAACAGCATTTTTGATATCACCCCACAAGTTCTCGATTGGATTAAGGTCCGGGGATTGGGCTGGCCACTCCATAACATTAATTTTGTTGGTTTGGAACCAACACTTTGCTCGTTTACTAGTGTGTTTGGGGTCATTGTCTTGTTGAAACAACCATTTCAAGGGCATGTCCTCTTCAGCATAAGGCAACATGACCTCTTCAAGTATTTTGACATATGCAAACTGATCCATGATCCCTGGTATGCGATAAATAGGCCCAACACCATAGTAGAAGAAACATGCCCATATCATGATGCTTGCACCACCATGCTTCACTGTCTTCACTGTGTACTGTGGCTTGAATTCAGAGTTTGGGGGTCGTCTCACAAACTGTCTGTGGCCCTTGGACCCAAAAAGAACAATTTTACTCTCATCAGTCCACAAAATGTTCCTCCATTTCTCTTTAGGCCAGTTGATGTGTTCTTTGGCAAATTGTAACCTCTTCTGCACGTGCCTTTTTTTTAACAGAGGGACTTTGCGGGGGATTCTTGAAAATAGATTAGCTTCACACAGACGTCTTCTAACTGTCACAGTACTTACAGGTAACTCCAGACTGTCTTTGATCATCCTGGAGCTGATCATTGGCTGGGCCTTTGCCATTCTGGTTATTCTTCGATCCATTTTGATGGTTGTCTTCCGTTTTCTTCCACGTCTCTCTGGTTTTGCTCTCCATTTTAAGGCATTGGAGATCATTTTAGCTGAACAGCCTATAATTTTTTGCACCTCTTTATAGGTTTTCCCCTCTCCAATCAACTTTTTAATCAAAGTACGCTGTTCTTCTGAACAATGTCTTGAACGACCCATTTTCCTCAGGCTTTCAAATGCATGTTCAACAAGTGCTGGCTTCATCCTTAAATAGGGGCCACCTGATTCACACCTGTTATTTCACAAAATTGATGACCTCACTGATTGAATGCCACACTGCTATTTTTTTAACACACCCCTTTCAACTAATTGCCCAATTGCACAGCCTTAAGAGCGTGCATATCATGAATGCTGGGTCTTGTTTGCTTTCTGAGAATCTACTGCACCTACTGGTAACTTGTTTGCCATGTAGCAATAAAAAATATACTAAAAACCTGGATTATTCTGGTTAGTCACATTGTACTGCTATTATTTTGAACAATACTGTATATGGTGTGCAGAAGACTGGTACCACCCCTTATCGGCCTCAGGGTAATGGTCAGTGTGAGAGATTCAAACCCTTCATAACCTTCTCTGTACCCTCCCACTGGAACAGAAGAGCCGCTGGCCTGAACATCTCCCCTCAGGTGGCGGTTAATTCTAACACCACCATTCATCAGTCGACAGGTGAATCCCCACACTTTCTTATGTATGGACAGGAACCTCACTTACCTGTTGATTTTCTCTTAGGCAATCTTCCAGAGCCATTATCAGGCACAGTCTGCGATTGACACAGGGAACACCGGCGGAGGCAGCTGCTTAGCAGAGGAAGGAGAGGCTTGACGCTAAAGGGTGTGATGAACCACTGGTAGTGCATCAAAAAGTTTATTTACGAGATCAGTCTGTTCAGGGCTGCAATAAAATCCAGGATATCCAGGGCTCTACAGTGTATCAAGTGGTGAGAGTGCCTGAGCCAGGCGAGGTGGCGTATTCAGTGGCCCCTGCACATGATTTAGCCCATGCTCGGAAGGTACATCGAACAGTGTTGTAGGCAAGTTGGCCAGGCCTATACCGACAGGTGAGCAATTTGCTGGGTTGATTATGAATATAAATACCACCCCTGGAGAGGCTGCTGTGATGAGCAATTGCTGATCGCTGCTGTGATCGTTTTTGAAGTGAATCTCCCTTGGTTGATCTGTGTCCTACTTTCCTTTTGAGGTATGTCCAGCGATCTGACTGTATATCAGATCTGTTGCAGTGTAAAGTGCTTAGTTTGTTTTGTTTGTAGATTGTTTAGGGGATTATCGCATGCTCTTCAGGGGTGATAATTGATGTAAGTGTGAGCCTGCAGAAGTTGGCGTCCATTGCACATGTTGTGCTGGGGCGATGCACAGCAACAAGGTGGTTGGTTTTAATTGTTTCGATGTTTTTATGCTGTTTATTAACAGTGGCTTTACTCATTGCAGGAGTGATAACCACTGCTGCTTTGCTTACTTTTGCTTCGTGTGCTTTTATGTTAAGAAGCTTACTCAGCATTATATTTCCTGTTCATTGTATAGTACTCAAGTTTTATGGTGTATGAGCCATTTATTTATAGGTCTTTTCTAACCTGTAGACCTCTGACCTTCCCCCCCCTCGTTCTGCACTATATTTGAGTGGGTAGTAACTTCTTCTCAAGCATCGTATTTTAGCCTCTGGGGTTAGGCCTTTTGTAAACGTGTTTACTGTTAACTTATACATTGACTCAATTTTGTGTGGACAAAACCAATGTCTCTGCTGTGTGTTTGTGGACTTATATGGTGTGTGTGGTAACCTAGTGCTTGTGGGTTTGGAAAAATTTGACCTTTTGAAACAGGAGAGACCATATACAGTGCCTTGCGAAAGTATTCGGCCCCCTTGAACTTGGCGACCTTTTGCCACATTTCAGGCTTCAAACATAAAGATATAAAACTGTAATTTTTTGTGAAGAATCAACAACAAGTGGGACACAATCATGAAGTGGAATGAAATTTATTGGATATGTCAAACTTTTTTAACAAATAAAAAACTGAAAAATTGGGCGTGCAAAATTATTCAGCCCC